AAATGCAATGATTGGCCAGTCTCGCTGCCACTCACATCCTGATAGCCAGTGATTGGGTGTCAGGATGTGTGTAGGTGGGGCAGCGTGACGAACGTGAGAGGAGCTAGGCTCCTCTCACAGTCCGCCCTGAAGACCGGAACGGCGCGGGAACACGGCGAGAGGAACGCGAGGAGCAAAGGTAAGTGAATTGACACAGGGGGGACTTGGCTTACTACTTGCTACTTACTTACTACTACTATATGAGGGATGAATTAATATGGGGGATGAATTACTATAGGGGGGATGAATTACTATATGGGGGAGGTGGGAATTACTATATGGGGGATGAATTACTATATGGGGGATGAATTACTATAGGGGGGATGAATTACTATATGGGAGATGAATTACTATGGGGGGTGAATTACTATAGGGGGATGAATTACTATAGGGGGATGAATTACTATGGAGGGATGAATTACTATGGGGGGATGAATTACTATATGGGGGATGAATTACTATAGGGGGGATGAATTACTATGGGGGGATGAATTACTATGGGGGGATGAATTACTATGGGGGGATGAATTACTATGGGGGATGAATTACTATATGGGGGATGAATTACTATATGGGGGATGAATTACTACATTACTATATGGGGGATGAATTACTATATGGGGGATGAATTACTATATGGGGGATGAATTACTATGGGGGATGAATTACTATATATGGGGGATGAATTACTATATGGGGGATGAATTACTATGGGGGATGAATTACTATAAAAACTTATTGAAACTAAAAACAGTGTACCATCCTATGTATTTTCAGTTTTAAAAATGTGGCTCTCAAAATAAATTTCAATCGTGGTTTTGGCGAGATTTGGCTCAGTTGAAAAAAAAGGTTGCCCACCACTGGCCTAGGCTAAGTTAAGTTAGCCTCCCCCTCTTTCATTGCGGACTGCAGGACCATTAATAAAACGCAGCACAACTCACGCTTGCTCAGTAGGAAGCCAGCTGTGAAGCCGCAAGCAGTAAGTCGGCTTTCCATACTGAGGCTGGCCATACATTATACAATTTTCTTGTACAACTTTCCTTTAGATTTACCAAAACAATATGTAATAGGAGGTCAAAACTAAAGACTTTCATTTTAAATTATCGGTCTTTTTTTGTTAATAGCGCAAAAAAAAAACCCCACAAAAGGTGATCAAATACCACCGAAAGAAAGCTCTATTTGTGGGGAAAAAGGACATAAATTTAATTAATGTACAGCGTTGCATGACCGCGCAATTGTCAGTTAAAGTAACGCAGCGCCATATAAAAAAAAATGGTCTGGTCGGAAGGGGGGTAAATCCTTTGGAGGGCAAGTGGGTAAAGGTGCTGGTAACCCTGGACGGGTAAGTGTCCTTTTAATAAATTTGTAGCTGCTGACTTAATTTTTTATTTTTTTTTATTGGAAGATCCGCTTTAAGGGCCAATTCACACTATGAGGTGCATTGTAAAATGTCATCGCAGGGACACACAGGAAACAATTGTTCCCTATGTGTCCCATTAACAATGCAACGCAGCCTAGTGCTGAGCTTCAGCATGCTGCTATAAAATGCAGACATGCTGCATTTTATCGCAGCCCACCGGCTTGAATCCCACTGCAACGTCAGGCAGCGCAACACTTCACACTGCCCGACATTGCAGTGACTGAAGTGTGTGTGTTTTTCACACTTCAAATCTGCTATAAAGAAAAAAATTGAATTGCGCACCACACAGCCCTTGCGCTCTGGCTGCTTAACAAACAAGCAGTGTAGATTCACCTGAAAGGACACAGAAGTCAAATATTTTGGGGTTATACTGCCACCTACAGGAAATAATTTTCTGTGTCTCTCAGTCCCTGCACACTTGACGCTTTTACAGCGGCTGTTTTTGGCTTTTGACGTTTTTTTTTCTACAGCCAATAAACCCCCCCAGCGTGTTATCCTATGTGCCCATGCATACATAGACTGTAATCAACATTTTTTGGCAGGGGTGTTTGTTGGCTGGAAAATAAACCCAGGACTAGTGGGTTTCTAGAGGAGATTTTCATCTGTAAAAATGCTCTAATGTTGAAAAATGTGGTAAAACACGGCGCTTTTGGACTCTTTTTGACCCCAAAAATGTTTTTTTGGTAAAAAAAATGCTAAAACCGCAAATGCGGCAAAACGCCGCTAAACATTAATGCAAAAAAGCTAAAAAAAGCTGACAAACTCACGTTTTTAACGTGACTGTACACAGCTAACTTTACCACTGTTATCAAAACGTCCCATGTGCATGAGGGCTCATAGGCTCAAAAAAAACAGAAAATTGTATACTCCCCTTTCCGTAATTTTCCTTTCCTGGTCCATCTTCAGCACGTCTGCCTTGCAGTAAATGGGTCATGGGTTCGATTCCTGACCATGGCACCTCCTGCATGGAGTTTGCATGTTCTCCCTGTGCTTGCGTGGGTTTCCTCCGGAGTTTGCATGTTCTCCCTGTGCTTGCGTGGGTTTCCTCCGGGTGCTCCGGTTTACTCCTACACTCCAAAGACATGCTGGTAGGTTAATTGGATCCTGTCTAAATTGCCCCTAATATGTGTATGTATGAATGTGAGTTAGGGACCTTAGATTGAACACCCCTTGAGGGTTAGGGACTGATGTGAATGTTCAATATAAATATATATATATATATCCATTATATCCTGCCATGATGCGCCAGGAAAAGCCTTTTACAATGGGGGACAACAAAGTCATATCCTTTTGTAGGTGGTAGCATAACCTGAAAATATGACTTATGTCCCTCAATTCTGGTTGTATTCTGGTGAGTATAAAAATATTTCTTTTTTTTCATTTTGGATATAGTAGAGAGGGTTAGAGCCCCTGTCAGGTATTTATTGCAGTCTGTGTCTCTAGTGGAGCAAGTTTACTTTATTTTCAGCTTGGACAAGCAGGAATGGGAAATCCCTCTAGTGGGGTCACAGACAAAAACTGTTGACCATGTTGATGTTACTGTACCTGATGTCATATCCTTTGATCTCTGCAAGAAGTGAGAAAAAAATATCCCAAATGGGGGCACGAATATAAATAAAAACCGGACAGAAACTTAAAAAAAAAAAAAAAAAAAAAAAAAAAAGCACATTTACCTTTTAAATGTTATTTTCCATACTATCTATATTTTCATTGTTTATTAAAGTTTTTTTTTTTTTTTTTTTTTTTTTTTTACAAGAATGTAGGTCAATGATTAGAGCACTCTGTAGGAAATAAATGTCTTTCCTACACATGTGCCTTTTATATGTGATGAGAGCAAATCTCCTAACATCTCATAATTACCAATAACATTCTGCTCCATGTGAGTCAAGTCGTCTTACCCGTAATTATTAACCGTCACGCAGGTGATGACTAACCGAACCAGACTAGCAATTAATGCTGGTAAATGAGCTGGGTGAAATGCATATGTTATTAAGCAATGCAACCTCATTCTGGGGTCAGAGCACGTAGAATGCCGTTAGTTGTCCTTTACTAATAAACAAGGATTCTCATTGGGATTAAATAATAAGCAGCTCTACTGACCGCAGGCGTGGGTCAAAGGTGTTCCTGAAAGCTCAAGGAGCCGCTCTCATCTCTTTTGAAGATACTGATCTAGTCTTTGAACGGTATCTCCACTTTCCTGGAGAAAAAATTTAGCAAATAAAAAAAAATAAATGTAGCATGTGCAATTGCTGTACACGCCATATTGTAATATGATGTTATTAAAAATGACCTTTCCTTTTCAATCTGCGTTCGCTTTAATTTTCTGTAAAATGCAATATGGCAACCGGGAGGTGTTCTGTACACAGGTGGTATAGGAAATGCCCCCTAGAAATGTCATTTCCTGCTTGTGTGATTGTTCACTAATTTTCCCAAAAGTCTGCGCTAAGATGCAAGTCTAATTTTAGGCATCCTCTGCAGCAAAAAATTCATTTTTGGTGAGGTATTCCCCTAGTGTTAAATGATTCTAATGGGGTTTTTATTTTTGTTTTTTTTTAAATAACAAACGTGTTATACTTACTTGCTCTATGCAATGGTTTTATACAGAGCAGCCCTGATCCTCTTCTTTTGGAGTCCCTTGGCGGAGGTCTTGGTTCCTCCCTCCTGTCGGGTGCCCCCAATAGCAAGCCTCTTGCTATGAGGGCATTCAAGCAGGCTCACTCCCGAACCACATTCCTGTAAATGGACATTGTCCATTCGCACAGATAGCATGGCTTGGCCCTGCCCCCCGCAATCTCTTTATTGGCTCACTGGCTTCAATTGAGCCAATAGTTCCCACTTCTGTGTGAGCCAATAAGGAGAGAGAGACCCAGGAGAGCTGCACATCACTGGATCGAGATGGGGCTCAGGTAAGCATAAGGGGGGGGGGGGCTGGGGGGGAGCTGTGCCCAGAGGGTTCTGCCTTTAGGACCACTTTAATCGCTTCTAAAGGGATGCAGACCCTGCAACTTGCAGCCCTTTATGGGGTTTTAGTAGCCGGGAGGCAGGGCGGAGTTTGTGACCATGTGACTGCCGTGATTGGCTGTCACAGTGATTACATGTTCAGAAAGTTCTCGATCGCAAGCAGAGATAGGGAGCTGTCCATTAGCCGCCGGTAGTTGTGCTGGGTGTATACTCTTGGCACAGTTCTGTTTTTTTGGGGTACGCATATATGTGGCCTCTCAGCCCACCCACTGAGAGGCTGCAGATATGCGCGCAGATGGCGGGAAGGAGTAACTCCTATTCAGATTCACGCTGCACGTTCACAAGCAACAGAGTTTGTTAAAATCTCTGCACGCTGACCTCCCAGAGGGAATTGTATTTGTCTCAACCTTAAATCCCCAAAAAAAAATAAAATAAATATATATATATATATATAATATATATATATATATATATAAATTTATTTATTTCTCATCCCAATAAGACTATCTGTACTTGTCACAAGAAGCATTGTCCCACCTCTGTTGGTGTCTCTTATTTTTGGTTAATGCTTCAGGAGATGATGGTGCTTTGTAATATTAAATATTATTATTTTTCATTTGAAATAACTCAGGTATGCAGTCCATTATCCATTAACCAACTTTTTTTTTGCAGCAATTTCTCCCGTGTTCCCCACTTAGCCGGTACAGAGGAGAACTTTCTACTGGCCAAGCAAATCCAAGCTCAGTGGAAAGAATACGGATTGGATAAAGTGGAATTAGCATCCTATGACATTCTCTTGTCTTACCCAAATGAAGCAGAACCCAACTATATCTCCATCATTGATGAACATGGGACGGAGGTAAAATCACAGGACAACTCTGCATAACATTATAGCTATAAAACTCTATGTATTTAAAGAAATGGCCCATTCATAAAATGTAGGCCATGTTGTGAAGCCTGCGGTCAGTCACTTGACCCAGCAGAGAGTACTTTGTGATTGAGGGATAGGTCGCTCTCATGCTTTTTTGTTTCCCTCAGTCCCATTTATTTTAATAGCTCTCGGTTGGCTTCTAAGTCCTACAGCCAGCAGAGCACAAAATATGCCTATTTATAGTACAAAAGTAAGGGTTGTCATGAAAAAAGAACGGTTTGTATGATTTGCACAGTATCTCGAAAGGAAAGGTAATCCTCTTACTTTTGGAATACGGTATGAAATGAGACTTTTGAATACCTTCTGTCTTTGAAGGGGTTTACTGTACTACGCACTGGCTCGGTAGAGTATTTCGGGTTCCTTTAGTTTCTTCTCACCAAAACCTTTAAGTTACACTTTCTCATTGGTCCCCAAGCCCTACTCCATAGAAGCTATGGCTTCCATGTGCTGCATTAATGATGGACAACTAGCCTGAAACTTCTATGTGCAGTTTGCAACAAATGGATCTACAATGTTAAGCTGCATCTGCATTATACAACTACTGGGGTGAAATTGAATGGTTTGCATGGCTTTGTCCACCATTCTCAGACAAGGAGTTATGCCCTGATTTTTGGAATATGTGATGGAATGAGGCATGTTCTAAATGTTCAAGAAGGTTTTATTGTGCTATTGCCATGGTCAGGCTCAGAGACCAGTAGCTATAGCAGTAGAGGGGCTTCCACCGAGCAGCAGGATACGTATACAAGCAGATCACCCTGGTGGATGATGCTCACCAGAGCTCCTGATGGTAGAGATGGGATTTGCTGCATGTTGGTACCAGGTCATGGTCCTGAGGATCATCCCACCAGGAGGTGAACAAGATATGGTCCAGTAACAGATATAGCAGGTAGGGATCTGGCAGAAACTTAAATAGTAAAGAAGTCAAAATGTCTGTAACAGGTTGTTGCAGGATTGGATCAAGCAGAAGCATAGCCGAAGAACAAGCCAAGGTTGGTAACGAGTGGTAGTGAAGATACAGACAGAAGCAGGAGTGACAAGAGTGAGATATTGGCTGAAGAGAGCACAATAATCTGGCAAAGAAGTGCACAGGCATGGCTTAAATAGGAAGTTCAAGGGAGGAGCTAAGGGTTCACGATTCACCAGAAACAAGGTACAAGGCAATGTTGTCCAAGGAATTATTCAGGGAGCTGTCCAGAATTTCAGGTGGCTCAGAAAAGAGATACTGCCAGACACCGCAGAGGTTGTAGGTTTAGATCTGGGTCCATGACAGCTATGCAAAATAGCTCACAAATAATTAGAAAATAACTCTATTTCAGAGGATGCCTGTGATTTGAATTTAAGTTTAGTACAAGCTTCAGGGAAAACAGTGATTAAATCTCGTGACCATATATTTCTATTATTAATGATTTAATATACCGGTAACTTTTTATTCATTTTTTATTTCTGTAGCGCTTTGGAGGCTGAAAGCGCTATTGCTGTGACAGAAGTTGAGGTAGCCATGTTGGGTGCACTCAATAGAATATCATACTAGGGCCCATTTTAGACAGGAGCCAATTAAGCCACCCGCTTGAGGGTTTTGGGGCTCCAAACCCTTATTGGAGCCTGCTATTACTGAACAATGCACTTTTATGCAACATTTTCTTGCTCTAGGTTGTCACACACCGTACTGTATGAGTGCTTCCACCTACTATATATCCATAGAAAATAGAAAACTGAACATGCTCCCCCATGCTCATGTAGCAAGGCAAGTGCCCCCCTCGCCCCCAAACGCTCCACCACCACCACCAATTCTATTTTATAAGGGAATAGTGGGACATTCTCTCAAATCTTCATTAGGCAAACATCAGAATAGTTCACTTCTATGATCATTTCTTCAATGGGTGTCTATTCCACTGACCTTTTTAAATGTGACTTACAATTAATCACCAAAGAAATAAATGCAGACGATTATATTTAGCCTAGTTGATGGATAGTGGCTGGACAAGGTCTGAAAGTCTTTTTGATTTCACAAAGTTCCATTAAACATAAAATGCAGACTGGGCATATTTTCTAATTAACATTCTAAGAACATAAGTAGGAGAAGGAGAAAGCTCAACTAGGGTAAGGAATCTGCATTAGGAGCAATTTGAACAGATATTACTTAAAGCAAACTTACACTTGTATAAATCAATGAAATATGCCAGCAATTGTATCTAGTGCAGGCCCTTCCAGGGCTTTGACCCACCTTCCTCAGCCTACTGCACCTTCCTGTTGGTTGATAAGGTGATCCATTATAATTCTGGACCAACAGGAAGTCTCAGGTGGCCGGGCCTTGGCTTGAAAGCAGTATTAAACCCAAAAGCAAACGTATTCTATTACAAAATACCTATTCTTAGATGTGATAGCTGCGTTTGTTTTTTAGGCTTGCTTTCTTCCATTTTCATCTGGTGATCCAGCCAGTCAGTCTGTTGTTTTTTCCAAAGAACAAGCTCTCTTGAAGATGTATTCAGTTACAGGGACGAGACAAACCATTTAACACTGGCAGGGGTGCTTACAATGATCAATTTTTATGTATTTATTTAAACCTTTATCCAAAAAGCAACAAGGGGTTTTCTGTAACATGTTATAAAGTTGTAACATGTTATAAAGTTGTAACTGCTTATAAAGTGTTAGATGATGTTTGCCTTCAGTTTGTTAGTGTATCTAAATCTGCTAGTGCACCTAACACTCCCCACCCCCCACATTGACAATGCTGCTGTCTGCTGTTCCCCTTCATTCAGAGTGGGGGCACTCTAATACAGGAGGTGTGTTACTGGTCAGATCACCAGGTGAAAACAGAGGGGAAAAAAGTCTAACAAAAGAAAACTGATGCAGCCGCCACATCTAATGATTGGTAAGCTGCAATATATTACATGTTTTGTTTTGGGTTTAATACCAGTTTAAATGAAAGGATATCTAAACCCAGGAATAAAAATGAAATCCTTTTTAAGATATCGTGTGGTGGCTGTATTACCTTCCATTTTTCAGGCCAGGTACATTTTCTCCATGCATAGAAAAATGCCTTTTGATCTTACCAAGGATTCAGTGTATTTATATCTCATACAATGTTACCAGTCTTCACATCTGACTTTGGTAAACTACAAACCACCTTCTCACTATATAATAGAGATGATGGAAGGAAGAAGATGTGTTTATAGTCCAAATCAAAAGCAGGTTAGGGTAACAATGGTGCTCCATACACACAGTACAGTAAGTGAGCACATGCGGTAGCCCTCTGAGGAGCAATGAGAGGCGGATAGCTTTTCAAAGGGCATGTGACAGGCCATGATGATGCGTTACATTGCCCCTAAACTCTGGCATCACTGCACTGCATCCATCTACATTGCACCTGGTTGCAGCGCAGTCCCATTTACTTGAATGGGTTGCATTCAGTGGGTGGTACTGCTTGCCTAACGTAACAGGCAAGACCAGGGGCGGACTGACAACTCATGGGGCCCCCCAGGCAATAGGGGACCATGGGGCCCCTGTGTCCTCACCTACACTCAAACCACACCCAAAAAAGCCTATGAAAGGTACTAGGGACATCTCTTGGGGCCCCCTAGTGACCCTGGGCCCTCGGGCAGTGCCGAGTAACCAAATGGTCAGTCCGCCCCTGGGCAAGACCATTTTTGCTGTGCTATGATGCATACTTCCACGAATGTGTATTCACTGCATGGCTACCTTTTGCAGCTTACTGTATGTGGGGCAGGTGGAAAAAACACATCCCACACCTTGTTTTTACTGCCACCCCCCAGCTGCAAGCGTAAGCAAGATCTTACGGGCAGGATCACTAGGTGAAAATAAGGGAAACATGCCTAAAAACCGAAAACTAATTTAGCCACCACTAATGAGCTCCAATATATCACTTTTTTTTGTTTTTTGGGTTTTGATCCACTTGCTTTACTAAAGCTGTATAGGATTAAAGTAAATCTATAACTCCTTGGTATGGTCGCTGATTCTTTCTGGTATTTGTATTTGATCTTACCTAGTTGTTCAATACCTCCTTGCGTGAACCCGATCCTCTTGGATATGAGAATATAACGAATGTTGTCCCTCCATACAATGCATACTCTGCCCCTGGAACCCCCGAGGTAAGCAGTTTGTTTTTTATTCGTATGATTCTGTAACTCCTTCCAGGTTAGTTAGTTTTTTGTTAGACAGAGGCTGTGTAGCAACCTGGGGATGAGTCAGCCTGGGAGTGAGGTAGTGAAGTTATCTCAGGACAGGCTGGGAGGCTCTATCAGGTCAGGGCTTCTGGATCTCTCCAACCTTCCCAGAAACCTCAGAGCTTTATGGAAGAGGGGTGGAGGAGGTCCAGATCTGTATGTTTGAGGAACCTTGACCAATCCCTTGCAGGAAGCTTGGCATGGTGACCAAGGCAACCCTCAAATGTGGCAGAGCCCGGGGGGGGGGAGGTGTGCAGTGTTTGGTGGAAGATAGACTGAAGAGCCTGGGAGGGGGCCCCAGAGAGGGGAACCTACCTACAGGCAGGTTGCTGGAAAATAGGATATCCACTGTTTCAACGTCTCCTGGGGAGGACAGCCTGAGCAGCAGGGAAGGAGCCAGCCCAGTGTAAGTCCTGAAGACAGCCTCCAACCTACCAAGCTAATAGGAGAGGACAGTCAGAAGCAAGACCCAACTAGCTTCTCCTATGGGACTGTTCTAAATTAACAGCTTTTGGGCCCCCGTGACCAGGAATACCCCCAGACAGCTGGTTTAAGAGGAGGAATCATCTAGGGGCTGAGGAGGTACACCAAAGAGCCTTTGGTGCTCTTCAAGGAAAGAGACTGTTGCTATCCACATTTTTTTTACAGTTGCTAAGGAGTTTGTCCTCAAGTTTTGTAGTTCTTTGGGCATCTCATATACCCCTAGACACCATCCAAGTTCTTAACCCCTTAATAAAATCACAAAACAAAGCTCAAGGACTGTTCTTTGACTCCATTGTGCAAAATGTGAGAAATGCATGTTTTTCCCGACCGTGTAAACCATAAGAGGACCCAAATCAATCCAGAGGCCCCTAAGGGGGTAGTGCTTCAGTTCTATAGTTTAGTATATTATATAAAACTCCATGTTCTGTGGTACATAGAGCAGCCTACCCAGCATGAACCGAATATTCCACTTCTGGACTTTTCTGTGTGACTCTTCTGGACTAGGGGGAAGAGTCGCATGAAGACCGCTGTCCCAATCAGCTGCAACCGTGGAATTCCCTACCCCAGTGCTGCATGCAACAAAGGGGTGGGTATGCTGCTGACATCATTAACCTAATATGACCAAATTTGTCATTGACCAAAATCAGTTCAGCTTGAACCCTAGTTTATCCTTACTCTTTACCTTGTGATTTAAAGCTTATATAAAGGCCAAACTTTTTTTTTTACTTTCACTTCTTGTCCTGGAGATAAAACAGGAAGAGAGAGCAAATCCCTTCTTTAAAATGTATTTCCATTTTTTTCATCCAAAATTGGAATAACACTTTATATTTGTTACATGGCCCCATCAGCATAGCATAAGTGATTCTAAAGGCATAATTTAAAAAAAAAAAAATGTCTATACTTACCTGCTGTGTGCAGTGGTTTTGCAAAGAGCAGCTCAGATCCTCCTCTTCTCGGGTCACTCGCCGGCATTCCTTGCTCCCCCTGCTGTTGGATGCCCCCACAGGAAGCAGCTTGCTATGGGGGCACCCAATACTCTTCACAGACGGAGCCGCTGCTTGGCCCCACCCCTTTTCTCTTTTCATTGGCTTACTGGCTGTGATTGACAGCAGTGGGAGCCAATGAGAAGTTAAGTCCTGGGATAGCCTAGACAAAAGTGTACATCGCTGGATTGAGCAGGGGCTTCGGTGAGTATTCGGGGGGCTGGGGGTGGATACTGCACACAGAGGGTGTTTAAAAAACCTTCAGCCTTTACAACCATTTTAATAAAAAAATTGCTGGTTATCTTTTTAAGTGCTTTTTACTTGTTTAAAGGATTAACCTTTGAGAACATGGTACATGTTCCACTTGTTTTTAGGGTGGGACATGAAACATGCTTCCACTGCTGCAGCCACTGCCCAATTCCCCCCACTCTCTGACAGCAGTACAGGAAAAAGTACTAGCTGTCAGTTTTTGAAATCGGGTTCTGTAAATGAATGAACTACAAGTACTGACATCCTTTATGGATATCGGCTTGTAGTTCTCAGTGAACTACTATGGCGCTGTGGAACTTTATTCAGTCTTCCTGCAAGTGACAAACTGTCTACTTGCACAGGCATGCAGATTACCCTGACAGTCTACAGGAGACCAGCATAGCACCAGCTATCTGCTGATCGTTGGTGCAATGCTTTACAGGCTGCATTTAAATTAAAAAAAAAATGCAAATTTTTTTTTGCCTTCAAAAAAAGGGCATTTTTATTATTATTATTATTATTATTATTTATAATAATTATTATTTATTTTTTGTTTTTTTAAAGTGACCTTATCCTTTAAAAATACTTCCATGCTCTACCCTGCTTTTTAATGTTTGGCAGGGGCTGTGGAGAAATGTTTAAGGGCCAGTTCACACTAGTGCGTTGATCTGCATTTTATATTCAAATATTTTTATTAAAGGATTTTCAACATACAAAGAAATGTACGTTAACGTGAAAAAAAAGGTTCACATTCAGATATAACATTCGGTACATGTTAGAAAGGTCCCCACCAATTGGCTGGGGATGCTGTGGACTCGCGTCGCGCTTACATGAGAGGTATGTTCAGAATAAAGTGAACCATGTTGGAGTAGAATTGTGGTTTATATTGGAGAGGGGGCAGGGGGGGGGGGGGGGGGGGGAAGAAGAAGGCACCAGTCAGACGTTTAGGTCAGAGAATGGAGTTATTTTGTAGTCATTTTATGGAGCAATTGGAGTTTTGTAACCATTGAGACCATTGAAATTGGAATTTCTGGTGTGAAGAATTACGGAAAGCTGCTCTTCTTTCCATCTCACATAGGAGGTTAAGGTCGGATAGGAGAGCTCACAGAGAGGGAGTTTTCGTGGATTTCCACAGTCTAGTGATATTGATTTTAACCGCTGCTAATATGTGGATAATGATGGTACGTGTGTCTGTAGGGAATTTGTCTATTCCTATGTGTAGGAGAGCAAGGGAGGGGTTTGGGGTCACAGGGACTCCTGTGATTGAAGAGGTCAGTTGAAAGACTTTATTCCAGTAGGATTTGAGGGATTTACAGGACCATAGTAAATATATTGTTGATCCTGTTTTCTCCACAATGTCTCCAGGATGTAGGTGAGTGTTGAGGGTAATATAGTGCGAGTTTAACAGGCGTTAAGTACCACTGGTGTAAAATTTTCATATGTTTCCCAATGGGAACTACATTTAGAGGCTTTATATGTGATGTTAAAAGTTTTTTCCCAGGTGTGGGCTTATTGGCTGAGGGAGAATTTTCTCCCAATTGGTTAGAGAGGTAGTGTGAAGTGTAAACTGTGTTTTGGTTATGAGCGTGTAGAAGGTCGAGATTCCTTTCTTTGGATATTGTGTCTTATGAAAGAATTGGTGTGCGGTAGTAGGGATTGTGAGTTTGAGCGGTATAGTCATTTTGTGTAGAGAGTGAGCTATTCTCGTGTAAGTAAAGTGTTCCTTGTCAGGAAGGTGGAATTTCTCCTGGAGAGTGGAAAATGAGTCTAAATGCTGCCGCCGGCGCCATCTTGGATCCCTGAGGTGATATCAGGGAAGAATTGGGTGAGCTTTCCCGGTTGTCCCGGGGTTTTTCTCCTGCGGGGCATAGCTGGGGAGGTCTGCACAGGAGCACCTGCTAATCGCTGTGGGGTTTATATCCCCTGGGGCCGGTGTGTGCAGCGATTGTGCTGGCGGGTGGACAGGACAGAGCAGTCAGAGAAGCGCACATGCGCCCCCCCTTGGTCTGAATTTTAGCGTAGCTGTAAAATGCAGATCAACCAAAGGACATTTGAAAAACAATAATTTCCAATGTGTCCAATTCACACCATAATGCTGTGTTGACCTGCCTTGCACAAAAATGCAACTTGTATGCATTTTAGCATGACATTAAGCAGATCTAAGTGGATGTCAACACAATGCACAGGATATTATGTGAAAATGCAGTACGCTTTAACACGGGCTAAAAATGTATGTCAACGGATGTCAAAATGTATTTCAATGCGTGACTAAAATGGATTGAAACATCCATTTTCCATACATTTTAGTGCAAGTCAGTGTGAATTGACTCAAGGGACCCTTTCACACTGATTAGTTTTTTATGCAGGGGCAGACTGACAACTCATGGGGCCCCAGGGCAATAGGGGATCATGGGGCCCCTGTGTCCTTGCCCAAACTCAAAAAAACCTATGAAAAAGGTACCAGGGGCATCTCATGGGGCCCCCTACTGACCCTGGCCCTCAGGCAGTGCCCTAGTTTCCAAATGGTCAGTCTGCCCCTGTTTTTATGTTTTGGTGTTTAAAAAACAGCATAAAAATGTATCTGTTACTCTTCAAACCAATGCCCCGCGGGTACAGTGCATTCTGAAAAGTCTTCCATGCTGCATGTTTAAAAAGCATTCCAAAAATGTACCTCCCCATTGAAATGAATAGAAAACCCGTCAAAATGGGGCAGTGTGAAAGGGCCTTAACAGAGTTAACCCTGTCTGTACTGTGTTCACAGTTCTTCATTATCGGTCGTGAACAGGGGTGGAGTGACAACTCATGGGGCCCCCGGGCAATAGGGGATCATGGGGCCCCTGTGTCCTTGCCCACACTCAAAGCATACCCAAAAAAAACCCTATAAAAGGTACCGGGGCATTTCATGGGGCCCCCTACTGACCCCAGGGCCCTCGGGCAGTGCCCGAGTGCTCGAATGGTCAGTCCACCCCTGGTTGTGAACTAGATTTGAACACTCTGCCCTGAACACTCTGCCCTAACAAAGGGCTAGCTCAGTGGGGTCAAAGACTCTGCAAGAGTGTCTAGGTGTTCTCAAGAGTTAGGGAGACTCTTACAAATGAGCGCAGAGAGGCCACTCCAGGTGGAAACATGTGAACAGTTAATCATGAGCTCACCACTGCTGCCTTGTTAATCATTTGCATGATGAAGAGAACTGAAAAGAATAGGCGCTGTGGAAAATGCTCTCAGTCAAGCACCGTAGCCTCCCTAGCGGTCTGATTATGTCAGTATTTCTGTGCTCAAAGCATGGAAATGTGTTGCATTTTTTATTGTAGGCCTGTAATTTAGGAATAACTCACTGAAATCTGCCGGAACAAGAGTCTAGTAAACATCCCAGGAATGATAAAATTTGAAACACAAAATCATAAATTATAATTTATTAAATAATCATAAAAAATAATATAATAAATGTAATGCAATAATATAATCAAACCAAAAACACTGAAATTTGAAATATAGCGCCAAGTTCGCACATCACTGAGCAAAGTCGCAAAATCGTTTTCAGTGTCTGATGACGGATTTCCCCACAAATCATCACTCAATTCTGCAAGTGGTTCTGATTTACTATCGCTGTTCTCTAGCTGGTCTAAAACGCTTTTGACCTAAAGGGACGCTTTTTGGACGCCATGGACATTTCTCAGTTTCCTGGCAGAAAGAACAGTAAAAATGCAGGCAGGGCACAGGACAAAGCACTCGGGACAAAATGTATGTGAAATGGTTTGATACAGTAATGTTTTACTATGTGATTTTAGTGTATTTAGTGAATGTCACCATTTCACATTTTTAAATTTCCCGCCAGTTCCGTCCCCGTAGGTCCTGACGTCGCAGGGAACGGAACCCGGAAGACAGATTCCGGCATCGACTGGAGGACAATACCGGGGACAGTGCAGGGGGGACATCGTGGGAGCGAAGGACAAGGTAAGTGAAGAAGAGATCCCGGAGCAACGCTGCAGGGTATTCCCGAGTGTAGCTCGGGAATACCTCCAGGGAGGTTAATCAAGGTGCATCTTTATTTGGTGAGACAAAGTAGCAAATATAATAAAATTTGACCAGCCTGAAGTGAACAGTGTGAATCGGAGAACACTCCTGTCGGCTTCTAATCATGTGGTGTCAGCGTACCAGCGTCCCGGGTGGCGTCATCACAGCAAGGGACTTGACAAAGCGCAACTGCGCGAAACATGTTGTATTGGTAACCCTACATACACTCCCAGCTGAAGCCGATGTCGGACAATGCCTTCGCTTGCAGTGATGAGCCAGCCGGGACGCTGACACCACATGATTTGAAGCCGGCAGGAGCGTTCTCCGATCTCAGCTCCCTCCAGAGCGGACGGCTATCCATTGGAGTCACACTGTTCACTTCAGCTGGTCAAATTTTATTATATTTGCTACTTTGTCTCACCAAATAAAGATGCACCTTTTCCACAGCGCCTTTTCCACAGCGCCTATTCTTTTCAGTTCCTAAGAGTTAGCCATGACACATTCTCCTTAGTTTAGAAACATCACTTTTTTTTTGTTTTTTTTTTTTTTTTTTAGGTATGTTGTGCGAATTGGAACTAATAACAAACATATGGTGGAGTTTTATAAAATTTGACTGCGAAATAGGAAATTACACTTTAACCACTTACAGCGAGGATATCCAGTTCTGGACGTCATATGATGTCCTCTTAGAATGCTCCCCCAGTGATGTACACCTGGCGCTGTGATGCTGTGTCCTTGACACTGTCCATGTACCTGACACTGTCCATGTGTGGTCACTTGCTTTGTACGTTCTAGTTGTAGCACTACCCCCTTAGGAGTCACTGCGTTTTGGGTCCCCCTAAAGCTCTGCACTGCCAGGCAACATGCATTTTATTCCACACTTTGCACGCTGGAGTCAGAAAACAGTCCTTAAGCTTGGTTTTGTGATTTTATTAGGAGTAAATAACTTTGATGGGGTCTAGGGGTATAAAGGATGCCCAAGGAAACTGAAAATTTGAGGACAACTTAGAGCAACTATGTACAAAAATGTGAACAAAAATAGTCTCTCCTTTTAAGAGCAGTCAAAGCTTTTAGGTGTACTGTACCTCCTCAGAACGCAGATGTATCCTTCTCTTCACCCAGTTGCTTGAGGGAATGCCTGAGCAAGGAGGGCCAGAAGCTGCCAATTTAAAACAAGCAGACCCAGAGGAAAATCTAGTTTGTTATTGCACCTGGCTGCCCTCTGCTCTTATCTGGCCCAGGGAGTGCAAGAGTACTCACACTGTCCTTTGTCAGTTTGGTGGGTTGTTGGCTGTCTTCAGGCCTTTTGCTGGGCTAGCTCCTTCCCTGCTGCTCAGGACAACCTCCCTAGGAGATGGTGGTGCAGTAGAGGTCCTCTCTTTCAGACCTGCCTGTAGGTAAGCCCCCTCTTTGAGGCCCCCTCCCAGGCTCCACACTCCAGCTCCTCACTCCATCTTCCACCCAACATTCACTGACTCTGCTCCCAGGCACCATCACATTTGAGGGTTGCCCTGGTCACAACCCCTAGCCTCCTGCCAGGGGATTGGCCAAAGTCCCTCAAACATGCAGATATGGGCTTCCACCTCTCCTCCAGAAAGCTTTCAGGTTTCTGAAGAGGTGAGAGGGCTCCAGAAGCCCTGACCTCTCAGAGCCTCCCAGCCTGTCCTTAGGTGACATCACTACCTCACTCCCAAGGCTGACTCATCCCCAGGCTACTACTCAGCCTCTACCTAACAAAAACTACCTAACTAACCTGGAGGGTGTCACATAGTAATATTTTAATGAACTCTTGCAGAGTCAGGACAGATGATGTGTCCTACAGTCATTCCAGCCAATCACACTGATTTTTGGAGGGTCTTTTTTTTTTATTTCCACAGGGAGAACCTGTCTATGTCAATTATGGCCGAATAGAAGACTTTCACTATCTAGAAAGAGTCCTAAACATCAGTGTTAAAGGAAAGATTGCTATTGCCCGCTATGGAAAAATTTTTAGAGGAAACAAGGTGAGAAAGTTTTTGTATGTATTAGGCCCCCATGCACACAGGACGGTTTGCCCAGCTCTCCTAAGTGCCTTTCCTCCTGGCAGCAGCATTTTGACAGAAAAAAAAGCGCTTGATGTGTGTGGACTCGTTTAGTTGCCAAGTCATTTCATTGGCCAAAATATTCACTTTTTTCTGGCCATTGAAATGGACGATCAAGCACTTGGTACTCCTAGCTTTAACACACTTTTACACGTGCCAAGCATTTTTTCTGCCAAAACGCTGCTGCTTCTGGATACACTGGCAGTGGAGGTTTTTGCCTCCAATTTCAATATCTCGGAATGCCTATGTGTGCCTTAAAGTGTATGTCTGGGCTAAAGTAACAAAAAATGTTATATGTTCCTGTGATATTTGCACATTCCCTCATGTTTTACTTTTTCACAAACGCTGCAAATACATAAAATTACGTGTTGATCCTGCCAAAAATCTACTGAGCTCCTAACTTTCCTGTGCAGCCTGCCTCTGCTGCACTATAATCCCAGGCAGCGTTGTTGGCCATGCCCAGTTCAACACCTAGACTATAGATTCTATAGGGGCTTAAAATTTTAAGCGCTGAGCTACTAGCCAGGCCTTAAGAGTTACTCGCCACCAACAAACACACAGAGACACCTGTACACACACACACAGACATGTACATACACACACACACATACATACACACAGAAACATGTACACACAGGCACAGAAACACATGTACAGACACATGTATACACACACAGGCACGTACAGACACTCATACACACAGATACATGTGCATACACAGAAATACACATGTAGAGACACATGTATGTACATACATACACAGACACATGTACGTACACATACACACACGTACACATGTACACACACATACATGTACATACACATGTACACGCATACACAGACACACACATGTACACACGCACGCACGCTGTTACAGTGAGGAACAGAAGTATTTGAACACCCTGCGATTTTGCAAGTTCTCCCACTTAGAAATCATGGAGGCGTCTGAAATTCACATTGTAGGTGCATTCCCACTCTGAGAGACAGAAAAAAAAAAAATTCAGGAAATCACATTGTATGATTTTTAAAGAATTTATTTGTCTTGCACTGCTGAATATAAGTATTTGAACACCTAAGAAACAGAAAGAATTCTGGCTCTCAAAGACCTGTTACTGTGCTTTTAAAAAATCCACCTCTACTCCACTCATTAATCTAACTTAGTAGCACCTGTCTGAGCTCTTTAAAGACACCTGTCCACCCTACAGTCAGTCAGATGCCAACTACTACCATGGGCAAGACTAAAGAGCTGTCAAAAGACACCAGAGACAAAATTGTGGACCTCCACAAGGCTGGAAAGGGCTACGGGGCAATTGCCAAACAGCTTGGTGAAAATAGATCAAATGTTGGAACAATTGTTAGAAAATGGAAGAGGCTAAAGACGACTGTCAGTCTCCCTCGGACTGGGGCTCCATGCAAGATCTCACCTCGTGGGGTATCATGGATGATAAGAAAGGTGAGGAATCAGCCCAGAACTACAAGGGAGGAGCTGGTAAATGACATGAAGAGAGCTGGGACCACAGTTTCAAAGGTCACTATCGGTAGAACACTACGCCGTCATGGTTTCAAATCATGCATTGCACAGAAGGTTCCCCTGCTCAAGTCATCACAAGTCCAGGCCCCTCTGAAGTTTGCAATGACCATCTGGATGATCCAGAGGAGGCATGGGAGAAAATCTTGTGGTCAGATGAGACCAAAGTAGAACTTTTTGGTCTAAAGTTCACTCGTCATGTTTGGAGGAAAAAGAAGGATGAGTTGCATCCCAAGAACACCATCCCTACTGTGAAGCATGGGGGTAGTAACATCATGCTTTGGGGTGCTTTTCTGCGAAGGGGACAGGACGACTGCACTGTATTAAGGAGAGGATGAATGGGGCCATTTATTGTGAGATTTTGAGCAACAACCTCCTTCCCTCAGTCAGAGCATTGAAGATGGGTCGTGGCTGGGTCTTCCAACATGACAATGACTCGAAGCACACAGCCAGGATAACAAAGGAGTGGCTCCGTAAGAAGCATATCAAGGTTCTGGAGTGGCCCAGCCAGTCTCCAGACCTAAATCCAATAGAAAATCTTTGGAGGGAGGTGAAACTCCGTGTTGCTCATCGACAGCCCGAAACCTGACAGATCTAGAGGAGATCTGTGTGGAGAAGTGGGCCAAAATCCCTGTTGCAGTGTGTGCAAACCTGGTCAAGAACTGTCAGGGCTCCCGGGTGAGACCAGAGGTATGTGACTGACGCAGGGAAACGCAGACTTCAAATATGTTATAAACAATGTAATTTATTAACACTAACAATACAAACATAAACGCAGTGCAATACTAAAACATAACACAGTGCAAACAAACCAAACCAACCACCCACAGATAACAGTACATACAATGCAAGCGTCGTCAGGCAGGCCGGGTCAATATCAATCGGGCAGGTAGGTACAGGGGGAGCAAGCAAAGAATGGTCAGAGTCACAAGCCAAGTTCAGCAGGTAGCGGGCAGCGTGGTACAGAGGGTCAGGCAGAGGAGAATGGTCAGACAAGCCAGGGATCAGGAGCAGGAGAATGGTCAGACAAGCCAGGGATCAGAGCAGGGTCAGCAGAGAATCAGACAGGAACAGGAACAGGAAACGGGGCCCAGGAGAAACACACAACACCAAGGCAGAGTCTGCAGGTCTGAAGGTCCCTTAAATACACCAGTATAATTAGATCCAGGTGTTTGACTGGCTGCAAGGTTGAGTCTCTGATTGCTGGGAGCACCCGCTGGCCAGCCCTGGTACTGCAGCTCATAAGGCAGGTGAGTCCCACTATTGCTTGCCAGTCCATTCCTGACAAGAACTACAGGAAACGTTTGACCTCTGTAATTGCAAAAAAGGCTTCTGTACCAAATATTAACACTGATTTTCTCAGGTGTTCAAATACTTATGTTTAGCAGTGCAAGACAAATACATTCTTTAAAAATCATAGAATGTGATTTCCTGAATTTGTTTTGAAATTCTGTCTCTCAGAGTGGGAATGCACCTACAATGTGAATTTCAGACCCCTCCATGATTTCAAAGTGGGAGAACTTGCAAAATCGCAGGGTGTTCAAATTCTTCTGTTCCTTACTGTAAGTGCTCTCTCCTCTCCCCTGAAGCCACCACTGGCTGACATAGAGGATCATGTGACCAGAGTGAGCTGAAATTAGGTAGACACACACACACCTATAAAAAGTTGCAGTACTTCATTGTTCGCTCACAGAGCCGGGTACTGCACTCTAGGGGGAGGCAAAGAGCACAGTACACACTCCTTCCTTTGCTTTCACTGCGCTCAGCTATTGAGCAGTCTGACGGCTCCCAGTGCCAATGACAGATCTGGCCTGAGCTCCGAGCCTGCTCAGCAAGACGGCCCTGGGAGACATACTCGCCCCCACCATAATTTCCACTCGCCTTTGGCGAGCGGGGGCGAGTGGAAATTTCAAGGTCTGCATACAACACCTTCCCCAGTGGTATGGAGTCAGAGCTCATAACATTGCTTGGGTTTTCAGTGCAGACACCTATGCTGGAAACAGATTTACAATGCTCAGCGTAGATGATTTTACAAGGGTTTGCAAAATTTGCAAAAACTCCCCCACTTAGCTCTATATGTATTGATGGTCCTAGATATAAGTCCTATTTGTAGAAATCCAAAAGTTCCTTATGCCTCCTTATGACTGTGAACAATCTTTGTACATGGCACCATTCTAGGAGTAATCTGGGTCCTTTTTATAACATCTTTAAGAATAATATGCAGTATATTGTCTCCTTGATGATCTGTTCTTAGTCATGTGAAGGACAGCTACTGTACATGCAGCTAATTCTTGTGTGTAGATTTTAAAAACCCTTGTATAGCTTATAATTGGTGGTTTGGAAAAATTATGGAAACACCAGGTAATAGAACAAAATTGTTACCTAATATGGTGTTGGACTGCCTTTGGCATTCAAGACAGCCTGAATTCTCCTGGGAATTGACAAATATAAGTCTTGGATGATGGATAACGGAATCTGATACCACTCTTCATGCAAAAAATCATTTCAGTTCCTGCAGAGATGCTAGAGATGGAAAACGAGCCTGAACCTCGTTCTCCAAAATTGACCATAGTGGCTCTATGATATTGAGGTCTGGTGACTGCAGCGCCCAGGGAAGGTGCGAGACTTCATTTGCATGCTCACCAAACAATGATTTGACAACACCAGCTTTGCCAGTCAGAGGAATATTGTGTTGTTAAATGTCACTGTTTTCAGGAGACAATGTCTGTGCCATGGGGTGCCCATGACTAGCCAAAATGTATACATAGTTGGTGTAAGTGACTCTTCCTCTCAAGGTGATGATGGGGCCTGCAGAATACCAAGATATGGCTGCCCAAACCATGATTTTGCCACCACCATGCTTTATCGTTGATCCAAGACAGTCCTGGTCGTAAGCTTGGGATGGTGTTTTGCACAATAAAAACACGTTTTTGGTGGTTGGGAACAGTGTGAAGCTTGATTCATTAGACCATGTTACAGTCTTCTGGTATTTAGTGAGTTGGCCAAGTCATACACTTTAACTGTTTTTTTGGCTTTTAGAACACAGAGCACTGCATGTTAATGTATTGAGGTCACTACTGTATATTGCATAGGGAAGTTTTTGGCAAAAGTAAGTAAAGGTGAAACTAGCCCTTTAAGGTAAACACAACACATCTATGCAATTTTTGAAATATATTTTCATTGAAAATATAATATTTTCATTTAAAACAATGATTATATTTATATTTGATTCTGACATGAAAGTGTGACAATGTCGTTCTAGGTTAAAAATGCAGAAAATGCAGGAGCCATTGGGATTGTCTTGTATTCTGACCCAGCCGATTACTGTGCTCCTGGTGTTCAGCCCTATCCAGAAGGCTGGAACTTGCCTGGTGGTGGAGCCCAGCGAGGGAATGTGCTGAACCTGAATGGGGCCGGGGACCCTCTAACACCAGGTTATCCTGCTAAAGGTACAGACATCTAATAAGTAAACAGCCACTCCTCTTCTTCATAGCTACATTTACATTTTATATCAGCAAATGTGAGATGTCCTGATATAAACTGTAATATCAGGGCTAGGGCTGTAAATTGCATAGTGGTTGTCAGAAGGGCTACTCAGCACCTAGTAGTAAAATGGCAACTGCACTAAAACTGCATGCATCCTGTCCTCTGAGGAGTTTCAGTATGTGAGAGAATCAGTGGTAGCATATTAATATTATTCTGTTGTGTTTGTCAAGCTTCAGGTATGACCTTCCATAATAAATATGTTTGTGTGTGTGTGTATGTGTATAATAAATATATATATTAACAGTGAACAGCCATGCCATTGTGACCACCCACCAAAACCCAGTCAAGGTATGGACCTCTGAAGTTATGCTGTGGTATCTGGCACCAAGCCATCAGTAGCAGATCCTTTAAGTCCTGTAAGTTGTGAAGTTGTGAGTTGGAGCCTCCATAGATCATAGATCAGACTTGTTTTTCCAGTGCATTCCACAGTTGCTTGATTGGATTGAGATCTGCAGAATTTGTAAGCCAAGTCAACACCTCAAACCCGCTGTCGTGTTCCTCAAACCATTGTTGAATTCACTAGACCATGTCACCTCTTTCCATTGTTCTGTGGTCCAGTTCTGATGCTCACATGCCCATTGTAGGCACATTTGGGTGTGGACACCAGTCAGCATGGACACCCTGACCAATCTGCCGCTATGCAGCCCTATACGCAACAAACTGCAATGCACAGTGTGTTCTGACACTTTTCTATCAGAAACAGCATTAACTTTTTTAGCAGTTTGAGCTACATTAGCTCTTCTATTGGATCAGACTACATGGTCCATCCTTTTCTTCCCACATACATCGGTAAGCCTTGGTCGCCCATAACCCTGTTGCCGGTTTGGCAGTTTTCCTTCCTTGGACCACTTTTGGTAGGTCCTGACCACTTCAACAGTATACAGTATAGATTCCAGTTTAGAATGAATTGGTAATATCACATCTCTTGAGTTTTTTTTTTTTCTCTGTTTTAAATCTGCTTTTTGTTTGTTTTTTTTCAACAGAGTACGCCTACAGATCTGCTGTGAAGGATGGTGTAGGACTTCCTAAAATCCCAGTCCACCCTATAGGGTACAGCAATGCTGAGATGCTGTTAAAGTAAGAATGTGTACGACCTAAACCACAGATTTTTTTAAAGCTGAAGTTGAGGCACCAATAACTGTTATGTATTTGTTCATAAATCCTCTCAATGGTCACGATGGGCGTCTGCAATGGACAATAAAGTACTAAATTCCAGCTGTTGATGGTTTAGTCTGATCCTCACATAAGAATAAATTAGACTTTAAGTATTTTATATGACAATGGACTTAAAGTGTAACTAATGGCCATTTTTTGGTTTTTCATTTTAAATAGAGTAAGGGAGGGCTATAACCTCTGTCATGGTTTTTTTTGTCATCTATGTCCCATTGGGGAGATTTCCCTTCACTTCCTGTCCCATAGCCAAAACAGAAAGTGAAAGAAATCTCTACAAAGTGAGGGAATACCATGCCGTCATCAGAACTAGCGTCTCATTTGGAAGAGAGTAAATGCAGGCAGTTGTGCCATGGTTTTACTGCCTCCCAGCCACTCGCCTAAACGGGAATGCAGCTGTTCTGCAACAGCCCTGCAACCAAATGCAATGCATGTGGTGGCAGCACAATGGGTCAGCTTTTTTAGGGTTCAAATAGATGGTGTGGAGGAGATAGGTCACCTCCTCACCACCAGTCAAATGCCTTTGAAAAGTTACCCATTGTGGATTACTTTTTTAGATGGACAGCAGGGGCAGCAGCATGTATATACCTGGGCATGGGCAGCTTTTGGAATCTTAGCTAAAACTTAAACATGTACTTTTCTGGATGTTTTACAGGAACCTGGGAGGAACCCCGGCCCCAGATAACACATGGAAAGGAGGACTCAACATATCGTACAATATTGGCCCCGGGTATTCTGGAAGTCACACTAAAGAGTAAGCAAATATTTTTTCCATAGTGCTCATAATACCAGCATAAAGTTATGGAATATAAGGGAGCAACAACCAAGGCCAAGAATTTCATGATTACCTAAAGGGAACCTGTCATTTATAAGTCTGCACAAATAAATTCCAGACATGTCACAATATACCGCAACAGTATCATTTTTCAAAAACAGTCTGTAACTTTTACCCTTAAAAAGATGTCCTTCAGCAGTACTGTAGTCAGTGACTTTGCCTAGGCTGAGATGATATCATCAGTCTACTGCAGACAGGAGGGAGCATTTTCTCGGGCTTCTCATCTCCTAATGAACAGGTCGCAATGTTGTAACTTTGCGAGAGGCTGCAGTATGGGGCTGATCTGTGTCAGACATTTGTAAACACAACCAAGTACTGCACAGGCACCAGGATTTACATGATTGCGTATCCTGTAACCCAGAAAGGCAGTAGATGGTGACCCTGGATGATGCCTGAACAATTAACTTCATCCTTCTGGAGGGAAATTCAATTAAAATATTGTCGGGGGGGGGGGCAATACATGTCTGTACATGTTGCAACTAGTGATGGGAAGGCCTGGGGTAAAAAAAAGGAAAAATTGGGGAAACATTTTTGTTCTCTTTTTTTTTTTTTTTCAAATACATAGTTGTTTTGGTTTTTTCCAGAAAAATTGGAAAAAAAGGAGTGTGGAATATGTTCTTTTACAATGATAAATATTATATCTATAACATAGTAATTAAAATGTATATCATGAAGACCTTAAATAAAATAGTCCTGAGACTTTATGTAAAGTCTTGAAGTATTGCAAGTTCTCTCAGTTGAAGACAAGGAAATCCTGGAATACAATCCCAGTAACACTGTACTTCTCAATGCAGTTTTCAAACAAGAGAAATGTGCATTTCTGACACTAGGGGGAACTGCAGGGGAAAGGCTCCAGTTTAGTTTGCTTGTGAGCTCCATCTTGTACCTCCTACAGTTGGGTGATAGTTGGGATACAGTAGATCAGTGGTCTCCAAACTGCGACCCTTGTGCCAGATAAGGCCCTTTGCTTGCCATTATCTGGCCCTTGGGGCACTATTCCCTCTGATATTAACAATGGGGCATAATTCCTGCCACTGACACCAATAATAGGGCACTTTTCTGCCTAATGGCATCAATAATAGGGCACTATTACTCCTGCTGACACCAATGTTAGGGCACTATTATCCCATTGACACCAATGATGGGGCACTGTTCCTCTCACTAACACTAATGATGGGGCATTGTTACAGAGAGGATATTTTCTACTGCTACTGGCCACAGTCTGGCCCCTCTAAAGTCTGAGTAAAGTTGTCAGGAATGGACTTGCCAGTAATGGTGGGACTCACCTGCCTTGTGTGGGCTGCAGTACCAGGGCTGGCCAGCGGGTGCTCCCAGCAATCAGAGACTCAACCCTGCAGCCAGCCAAACACCTGAAGCTGATTATGCACGTGTATTTAAGGGATGGCCAGACCTGCAGTCTGCGCCTTGGTGTGTGTTTTCGATGGGCCCCTGTACCTTGTAAACCTGTGTTCCTGTTTCTGATTCCTGTGTTCCTGTAGTGCGTTCCTTGTTGCCGACCCTGCCTGTTCTGATCCATGCTGACATTCTCCTGCTCTGACCCCCGGCTCGTCCCTGACCATCCTTCTGCCTGATCCTCTGTACCGTGCTGCCCGTGAGTTACTGAACCCGGCGTGTGACCTGACTACCCTTGTCTGTTGCTTGTACCGTGCCTGTCCCCACCATTACTGACCCGGCTAGTCTGACCACGTCGCTCCTGACAAAAGTACAGTAAACTGGCCCTTTGTTTAGAAAGTTTGGGGACCCCTGCAGTAGATGATAGTTTCTGTCCTCTCAGGCCTTAATTGACAGGTAAGAGGGTACATTTGACAAATTAGTTTATCTATTTGTAACCTTTAAGCTGTATTTCTATTAATGTTTACCTAATGTTTGCCAATAATCTGGGCATTACATTTATTTTCTTTTCCTCCTATCAGTAAAATGGTGAGACCAACATCTAGAGTTTTTGGAAACCATTTCCACAGTGCAATTTCTGCTGAGGGCAAAGCTGCAATTTGCAAATATTGTGAGAAGAAATATTCTTTTCCAAATGCTACAAAGATGACAAAACACTCTGCATATCACCTTCCCAGTGTAACGAAATGACTTTCAATTTTTTAAAACTACTCCACATTGATTTTAATAATCCCATAAATCCAGTCTCTAAGGAGGATATGACCGTGCTTATAACTGAGCAAAATACACAAATAAATGCCATATAAGATAAACTGAAAATCCAAACGTAGTGTTGAGTGTAAAAAACAAAAATAAGTGATGCCAATAAATGTGTTGTGCTCTTCCTCTTCACCAACTAAATGCACATTGCACTCACTGCAACTTTGACCTCTTTCACTGAAGGAAGTCACAATGTACTTTATCACCAACTGGTAAACTCACACGTGGCCGCTGCACTCCAAGCAGTTCTTAGGTCCAATTCACATACGTCCTGCACACATGAATAAGTGTGTCAGGAATGGACTGGCCAGCAATGGTGGGACTCACCTGCCTTTTGATCTGCAGTACCAGGGCTGGCCAGCGGGTGCTCCCAGCAATCAGAGACTCAACCTTTCAGCCAGCTAACACCTGGAACTGATGATACTGGTGTATTTAAGGGATGGCCAGACTTGCAGACTCTGCCTTGGTGTTGTGTTTGTCCTGGGCCCTGTATCTGTCCTGCATCCTGTTTCTGTTCCTTTGCTACCTGTTCTGATCCCTGGCTTGTGACCCTGACCATCCCTCTTCCTGACCCTCTGTACTACGCTGCTTGCTACCTGTTCTGATCCCTGGCTTGTGACCCTGACCATCCCTCTGCCTGACCCTCTGTACTACGCTGCTTGCTACCTGCTGAACCTGGCCTGTGACCCCGACCATTCTCCGCTTGCTCCCCCTGTACCTACCTGCCCAATTGATATTGACCCGGCCTGCCTGACGACGCTTGCTTGTATGTACTGTTATCTGTGGGTGGTTGGTTGGGTTTGTTTGCACTGTATTATGTTTAGTATTGCACTGCGTTTATGTTTGTATTGTTAGTGTTAATAAATTACATTGTTAATCACATATCTGAAGTCTGCGTTTCCCTGCTTCAGTCACACACCTCTGGTCATACCTGGGAGCCCTGACAAAGTGGATGGTGACTGTACCGTTTAGCACCCCTGCGCCTTTAAGAGACTCTGCGACATATCTCACTCACTCAAAGAGCGAGATAGAGAAGCTTCTCATGGTGTAGTATGTTACATTTAATAGGAAAAACAAGTAAAAATGCACTTACATTCTATTAAAGCATACAAACACTGCAATAAACATTAGAAACACCGGTTCTTTGCACCTGCGTTCCACTAAGCAGAAATGATGTACCCCAGAAGTCCCAATCAACGCATTTTGTCATCAATGTCTGACGTCATCACGGGTCACATGTCCCGGCTCATCTCTGCCTCATATGAGAGTTGTTCCTTGTTACTGTAAAGAGTGGAGACCAGTTGTCAAAAAACTTCAGGCTAAGCACACTTTTAGTGAAGAAGGAATCAAGTTGTCCAGATCACAGGGCACAGAGTAAGCATTGGGGTCACAAGCCAGGGTCAATTCAGGTGGGAGAGAATCAGTCGGGTTCACAAGCCAAGGTCGGCAACAATAGCAACAGAGGTATTGCAGAGCAGCAGGCAGGAGTCTGTCAGAACACAATATTTTATGTTTTTTTTCTTGCAGGAAGGTGAGGATGCGCATCCAAACGTACAATGAAATAAGAAGAGTTTATAATGTCATTGGAACCATCAGAGGAGCCGTGGAGCCAGGTGACAGTGGAATATTAGAATCCTTCCATTAAAGTACAACAGTTACTAATATTACCAAATGGGAGACCTCTAAAGTGACAAATGGTTATTAATAGGAGTATAAAATCATTTTATTCATTCTAACATAACATGTATTTTTAAATATTACTGCTATAAGCACATAAGTCTGTCTTTATATTAAAACTGAACTTCAGGCACAAAAAATAACCTTCTGTTTAAATCCAGTTAGTGAGTCATTAAAAAATACTTAAAAGCTCAAAAGCTACATCCTTACAAAAACCATTTGAAGTCTCACCTCCTTTTTTATAGCCCTGAATGATTTACTTGGAAATACCTTAAAATAGTTTTTCTGTCAGTAAAATGCTAATGGTAACCCTGAACCCTAACATTAGCCCTTAACCCTAACATTTAATCCTAGCCTAAACCCTTAACCCTATCTCTTAAACCTAACATTTAACCCTAGCCCTTAGTCCTAACCCTAACATTTAACCCTAGACCCTGACCCTAACATTTAACCCTAACCCTTAGTCCTAACCCTAACATTTAACCCTAGACCCTGACCCTAACATTTAAACCCTAGACCCTGACCCTAACATTTAACCCTAACCCTTAGTCCTAACATTTAACCCTAGACCCTGACCCTAACATTTAACCCTAACCCTTAGTCCTAACCCTAACATTTAACCCTAGACCCTGACCCTAACATTTAACCCTAACCCTTAGTCCTAACATTTAACCCTAGACCCTGACCCTAACATTTAACCCTAGCCCTTAGTCCTAACCCTAACATTTAACCCTAGCCCTTAGTCCTAACCCTAACATTTAACCCTAGCCCTTAGTCCTAACCTTAACATTTAACCCTAGCCCCTGACCCTAACATTTAACCCTAGACCCTGACCCTAACATTTAACCCTAGCCCTTAGTCCTAACCCTAACATTTAACCCTAGACCCTGACCCTAACATTTAACCCTAACCCTTAGTCCTAACATTTAACCCTAGACCCTGACCCTAACATTTAACCCTAGCCCTTAGTCCTAACCCTAACATTTAACCCTAGCCCTTAGTCCTAACCCTAACATTTAACCCTAGACCCTGACCCTAACATTTAAGCCTAACATTTAGTCCTAACCCTAACATTTAACCCTAGCCCTTAGTCCTAACCTTAACATTTAACTCTAGCCCCTGACCCTAACAATTAACCCCAACCCTAGCCCTTAACCCTAACATTTAACCCTAGCCCTTAGTCCTAACACTAACCCCTGACCCTAACATTTAACCCTAACCCTAGCCCCTGACCCTAACATTTAACCCTAACCCTAACCCCTGACCCTAACATTTAACCCTAACCCTAGCCATTGACCCTAACATTTAACCCTAGCCCTTACTCCTGACCCTAACATTTAACTCTAGGCCCTAACCCTAACAATTCACCCGTTAACCCTAACATTTAACCCTAGCCCTTAGTCCTAACCCTAAAATTTAACTCTAGCCCCTAACCCTAACAATTAACCCCAACCCTAGCCCTTAGACCTAACCCTAGTCCCTGACCCTAACCATTAACCCCAGCCCTAGTCCTTAACCCTAACATTTAACCCTAGCCCTTAGTCCTAAACCTAGCCCATGTACCCTAACGTTTAACCCTATCCTTAACCTTTAATCCTAACATTAGCCCTTAATCCTAATATGTGACTTTGGACACATAAAGGTTCCTGCACAACTTTCATGCAACTTTGATGTGACTTTGATGCTACTTGAGTGCTGGAGTGTAAAGTTGCATCAAAGTTACACTACATGAAGAGAACTGTTATACTTTTACTAATGGCAAAAAACCCCACAAAACACACAAATGCACCACTTGAATTTTTTATGCAGTTCCATTGAAGTCTATTGAATGTAAAACGCAATCTGCTGCAGGAAAAAAGTCCCTGACCCTTTCAAAAATCTGCACCAGCTTGAAATGCCCAGATGAACTCTAGATCCATAGGAAATCTTGTTAAATGGACTGTAGTGTGTTTCTGCAAACTGGAAAACATACTGAAATCTGCATAAGTGTGAATCTAGGGTAACAACCACAGCACTTAACACAACATACTTGTATTTTAGTGGAAGGGAGGGGGTGTGTCTGACTGTTACTAAGTTCTGATTATTGAGTGCACTGAAACTAATTCTGGTGCCTATTTAACTGCATAGTGATATTTAGACACCATGCAATAATGCTGTAACAGGAAAGTAGAGGTAAGACTATTAAATTGGAGGTTGTTAGTACAATGTCTCCTGACTGCACATCTATTTCTAGGACTTCAGCTGGGCTTTTAATGTATTTTTAAATACATTTGTGGATAGATACCTCAAATATTTGACTCTTAAATTTCCTTGAACAAAAGGACTAAGAAAGGGAAAACCTCATGGTAAGATAATGAGGTTCTGACAGCAAGACAGAGCAGTGGAATGATATCACACTTCTTCTACTCCTTCATTGTCCAATCAGCAAAGCAGCGGTGGACTGGAATCCCCAGCTGTATTGCCTAACTACTTCAGCTCCAGAAGATTTTACCCCCTTCACCAGGCCATTTTTGCTGTTTAGCACTGCGCTACTATAAGTGGTAATTGCACTGTTATGCAACACTGTACCCAAACAAAATTGATATAATTTTTGTATTCACACAAATAGAGCTTTTTTTTGGTGGTATTTGATCACCATTGAGTTTTTTTCTTTTTCTTTTTTTTAACAAAAAAGACTAAACATTTTGTTAAAAAAAAAATTTTTACTTTCTGCTATAAAAATATATCTGATAAGAAAATTTTAAAAATCTAATTCATCAAAATGTATTCTGCTACGTCTTTAGTGGAAAAAAAAATACCTATAAGTGTATACTGATTCGGTTTGTGTGAAAGTTGTAGCATCCACAGACTATGGTATATTACAATGAGCACATTAAAATACATTTTGGGCTAAATTTATAAAAACATTTTATTTTTTCAAAATGTGTTAGTTTTATAGAAGAAAGTAGAAAATAGGGATGCACCGATACCCTTTTTTTTTTTTTTTTTTTTTTTTTATTGGCGAGTCAAGTACTCACCGGTTCTGATACTTTGCAATGTGATTTGCGGCCATACAAAATGTATGAACGCAAATTGCACCACAGAGATGCAATTTGAACAGGAATATGATTCCTGTCCAATTCGCAAGTGGTTTTCCCCACTGCTTGTCTGTGAACCCAGGCTGTCGTAGCCTGAGTTCACACAGGAGCGGTGCAGGGAGGTTTCTGTCAGTGGAGAGCGGGTGTGTGGGGATCAGGGGCGGACTGACCATTTGGAAACTCTGCACTTCCAGAGGGCCCGGGGTCAGTAGGGGGCCCCATGAGATGCCTCTGGTACCCTTTTTTCATAGGCTTTTTTGAGTTTGGGCAAGGACACAGGGGCCCCATGATCCCCTATTGCCCAGGAGCCCCATGAGTTGTCAGTCTGCCCCTGGTGGGGATGTATACTAGGGTGGCAGATGCTCCATATTCTTTATGGTAGGGGAGGAAAGAAAGTGGTGAGGATTTGAAATCCCCCTGGCTTTCTCTCATATATCACATTGCAGGGATGACAGTTCAGACTAGAGGGCTAGAGGACTCTCTGCTCAACATGGAATCCCTGCACGGAGGTTTCCTGCACCACTCCTGTGTGAACTTGGGCTATGACAAGCCTGGGTTTACAAAGGAGCAGTGGAGAAACCGCATGCAATTTGGAATCGCATTTCTGTTCAAATTGCATGCTAATCTTTGCGGTGAAATTTGTATTGACGGAAATCACACAGCAGAGTATCAGTTTCCGGTATCTGCACTGATACCGATACGGTGTCAGTGCATCCCTAGTAGAAAATATTGGGTTTTTGTTTTTTTGTTTTCAACATTTTTGGTCTTTTTTCGTTTATATAATAAAAAAAATAAAAAAAAAACAGTGGTGATCAAATACCACCAAAAAAGAAGCTATATATGTGAAACAAAAATTATATAAATTTAATTTGGGTACAGTGTTGCATAGCCACGCAATTGGCAGTTAAAGTAGCACAATGCTAAATAACAAAAAATGGCCTGGTCCTCAAGGGAGTAAAATCTTCTGGAGCTAAAGTGGTTAAAAAAGAAGCAATACATTTGAAAATGTTCTTTTGGACTGTGGCTTGCATGGTGCAATCAAATGTTCTTTTTATTTTTCATTCATTAAAATCTCTTAAGCAAATTGATGCATGTGTGGCTAGCATAAGTCATCTGTCACACTGGCAGTGGAGTAAGTCAAACATATCTTATTGGCCCGGTACATTTGCACGTGGTATTGTGTGTTTGACAATCTCCATTCATCTCTGTGAAAAATAAAACCATCCATCACATGCAGTGCAACTCAAGGACACTATGTTGTATTTGTCTGTTCACTGTTGTCCATAATAGTGATCACTTGTGCTGTGCTCCATTAATCGCATAGATCAGTGGTCTCCAAACTGCGGCCCAGGGGCCAAATGCAGCCCTTTGCTTATCTTTATCCGGCCCTTTAGGCTTTCTTCTTCCCTCTGATGAAAAGCACTATTCTCCCCACTGACACCAACGGTGGACCATTATTCCTCCCACTGACACCAATGCTGGGACGCTATTCCTCCCACTGACACCAATGATGGGGTTCTATTCCTCCCACTGACACCAATGATGTGGTGCTATTCTTCCCACTGACACCAATGATGGGGCACTATTCTTCCCACTGACACCAATGACGGGGCACTATTCCTCCCACTGACACCAATGATGGGGCACTATTCTTCCCACTGACACCAATGATGGGGCGTTATTCCTCCCATTGATACCAATGATGGGGCACTATTCCTCCCACTGATCTCCCCGTGATGGGACACTATTCCTCCCACTGATACCAATGATAAGGCGCTATTCTTCCCACTGACACCAAAGATGGGGCGCTATTCCTCCCACTGACCCCCGTGATGTGGCACTATTCCTCCCATTGACACTAATGATGGGGCACAATACCTCGCACTGACAGCAATGATGGGGCACAATACCTCGCACTGACAGCAATGATGGGGCACAATACCTCGCACTGACAGCAATGATGGGGCACAATACCTCGCACTGACAGCAATGATGGGGCACAATACCTCGCACTGACAGAAATGATGGGGCACTATTCCTCCCACTGACAGCAATGATGGGGCACTATTCCTCCCACTGACAGCAATGATGGGGCACTATTCCTCCCACTGACAGCAATGATGGGGCACTATTCCTCCCACTGACAGCAATGATGGGGCACTATTCCTCCCACTGACAGCAATGATGGGGCACAATACCTCACACTGACAGAAATGATGGGGCACTATTCCTCCCACTGACACTAATGATGGGGCACTGTTCCACTGACAGCAATGATGGGGCACAATACCTCGCACTGACAGCAATGATGGGGCACAATACCTCGCACTGACAGCAATGATGGGGCACAATACCTCGCACTGACAGCAATGATGGGGCACAATACCTCGCACTGACAGCAATGATGGGGCACAATACCTCGCACTGACAGCAATGATGGGGCACAATACCTCGCACTGACAGCAATGATGGGGCACAATTCCTCCCACTGACACGAATGATGGGGCACTGTTCCACTGACAGCAATGATGGGGTACAATACCTCCCACTGACAGCAATGATGGGGCACTATTCCTCCCACTGACAACAATGATGGGGCACAATACCTCACACTGACAGCAATGATAGGGCACTATTCCTCCCACTGACAGCAATGATGGGGCACAATACCTCCCACTGACAGCAATGATGGGGCACAATACTTCGCACTGACAGCAATGATGGGGCACTATTCTTCCCACTGACACTAATAATGGGGCACTGTTCCACTGACAGCAATGATGGGGCAAAATACCTCCCACTGACAGCAATGATGGGGCACTATTCCTCCCACTGACAGCAATAATGGGGCACTATTCCTCCCACTGACAGCAATGATGGGACACAATACCTCACACTGACAGCAATGATGGGGTGCTATTCCTCCCCCTAATACCAAAGATGGGGCACTATTTACTCCCACTGGTACCAAGACATTTTCTACTTTCACTGGCCACAGTTCGGCCCCCATAAAAGTCTGAAGGACAGTAAACTGGCTCTTTAGTTAGAAAGTTTGGAGACCCCTGGCATTGATGAACACAGGCTATAATGCAAGTCCTGTTAAATTGGGACTACATGAGCGATTTTTGGGGCTTGTTCATACAGGCAACCAGGGGATGGTAACACAGCAATTCAGTAGCTCAGGGCTGTTCCCATGCTGCGTTTACAATGCCTTGCTTTGAGGCCCTGGGAAAAATGTAACAGCTTGTTGCCACTTAACTGCAGCTCAGCCAGAAAACTGACTACGCTAGGATGGATGTGCTCTTATGCCTAGCGTGGTCAGTTTGAAATGGGGTAAGCAGATGGACTGGCAGGATCACCAGGGATTTCACTCAAAGGAAGGAATACAAAGAGAACAGGATACTTTTTCACCCAAGCACATGGTACAACATACACCTATCAGGAATTGGGGTAACATATTCCTTAAAAAGTAACTCCACTTTAATTGAGAGAAAAAAAACATTCCCCTCTGGGTGATATATGTATATTGCACGGATTGTAACAAAATTTGCTGCAGATTCCTACTGTTATGCTGAAGAAATAGCATTGTGTCCACGTGTAAAATGAATGTGAATAGAACTGATGTTATACTTATTAATCCGCCGCTGCACTTCCTGGGTTCTAATGAGGAAAGTGGCAGGGTCTGCATCCCTTTATACATTCTTTCCCTTTGGGACTATCTCACCAAAAACAAAATTTTTGTTGCAGGGGATGCTGAAAATCTGATTTGTATCTTGGTGCAGACTTCTGGAAAAATCAGAAAGCTAATCACACAAGCAGGAAATGATATATCTGGGAGCCAATCTGTACACTGTGTACAGAACGCCTCCAGGTGGCCATATTGCATTTTACAGAAAATTACAGCACTGCAGATGAAAAAAGGAGAGGGGATTTTTAATAACATTCAATTACAATATGACTTGTGCCTCAGTTGTATTCGCTAGATTCATTTTTTATTTGCTATTTTTATTCTCACGAAAGTGGAGTTACCCTTTAACAATATTGTGTCTAAATATGTAGGGGGGGCTAAAATGCTAAATCGCTAATATTTAAACAAGACACCAATTTGTTGTCACTGGCTGGCCCTCCTATTTTTTTTTTTGGTGTGTGTGTGGTGTTGTGACATCAGGTTAGGATTTTGTCATGCGATCAGTTTACATAGAAATAATGCCTAGCAGAGTTCTTAAAACAAGTTAATGTCCTTCTTAGACAGGTATGTCATCCTTGGCGGCCATAGGGATTCCTGGGTGTTTGGAGGGATTGATCCGCAGAGCGGAGCGGCGGTGGTGAATGAGATTGTCAGAAGTGCGGGGAAACTGAAAAAAACAGGTAATAATACATTTTACTTTCCTAGTTTACTTCCTTTTTTTCTGTTACTTATGAAACTTTTTTTATTATGCTTTTGCAGTACATGCTAATTTTTATCATCCTTTGTACCCCACTGGACCTTTTTTTTTTTTTTTTCATCCTTCTCCGCTACTATAATGTATCTTTCAGTAAAAACAAGTTTAAATAAAAATTACTTACCTTTTTATAGCTGAACCCCAGGTAGAAAAATTGTAATGCTGTTTTATAAGAACCAACACACTAAGTTAAGTTACTGTACATGTGTTTTTGTGTCTTGTGGTGCACTGTAGGTGCATTGTGGAGCTGTGGACCTTTTTTTTGTTTATATTTTTGGTTTTTCATTCTTCTCTGCTATGATGTCTCTTTCAGAAAAAACACATTTGAATAAAAATGTCTTACTTTTTTTTTTATAGCTGAACCCCAAGTAGAAAAAATGTAATGCTGTTTTATAAGAACCAACATATTACACTACTGTACATGCGTTTTTGTGTCTTGTGCGCATTGTAGGTGCATTGTGGAGTTGTGGACCTTTTTTTTTTGTTTTTTTTGTTTTGCACCCTTCTCCGCTATGATGTCTCATTCAGTAAAAAACAAGTTTGAATAAAATACAAAGTACATGCATTTTTGTGCCTTGTAGTACACTGTAGGAGGTGTTGATTCAAATGTGATGGCATTGCAGCGCATCAATACATGTACAGTGTGTAATGGCATGTTGCGATAGTGGCCTGGTGTAAATGATCCTTGAAAATAATTTAAGTAGGTATATAAAAAACCCAAAATGTTGGATACCTGTAGCAGCTGGGGAGCAGCGATGCAGCGGTTTTAAACTTATTCCAGACTATGGCATCATCAGTTGCTAACCTTCATTTTACTTGTAGCTCTACCCCCAAATGAGCTGCTGAGTTTTTGGGTCCCCCTCTTCCTGCACAGCCAGGCAACACACATTTTCCAACTGTGTTGCAGAGACAATGAGCAGCTCTTGGGTTTGTTTTTGTTGTTTTATTAAGAGTAAATAACTTGGATGGTGATTGGGGATTATGGGATGCCCAACTATATATATATATATATATATATATATATATATATATATATATATATATATATATATATATAATTTTTTTTTTTACAGCAAAAAGTAAAAAAAAAATAGTTTTTTTGTATAGCGCAAAAAAAAAAATTCCAGTGATGATCAAATACCACCAAAAGAAATCTCTATTTCTGTGAAAAAAAAAATGATATAAATTTCATTTGTGTACAGTGTTGCATGACAGCGCAATTGTCAATTAAAGTAGTGCAGCGCTGTATAGCAAACAATGGCCTTGTCAAGAAGGGGGGTAAATCTTCTGGTGGGCAAAGTTTGTTTCCATTTCTTGAGCCCAGTGCAGTTTACTAGATGTGGTGTATCTCTATAGTCATGCAGGACAAGAGCTGAAGACAGGGAGGAAGGCATTGGTGATGCCATTATCCTGCCTTAGTCCTTGTTTCCCCACCATCTACATGGTTTGGACACACACCCCTTCATATTGACATGTACGTAGCCAGTGCAGAGCTTGGGAGCTAATACACTGCATAGGCCTTAGACAAGCCAAGCAGCTGTAGCCACCAGCCTTCCTGCAATAATAACTTACATGGGCTTTATTTAGCTTTTGGATTTAATGCTGGGCAAAAGACAAGTTTAGCAACTGTAGCACTACCCTCTTGAGGGCCGTTGGATTTGTTTTGAGTCCCTCTAAGTTCTGCACAGCCAGGCAACACACAATTTCCACACTTGCACACTTGTAGTCAGTAAACAGTCCTTCAGCTGGTTTTTAGTTGTTTTTATTAAGGATGGAATGGGGTCTGGTTGTATATGGGATGCCTAAGGAAAAGTAAACTTGAGGACAAACGTATACACTGTACAAAAGATGTGGATAAATAGTACTCTTTTTTTTTTTTTTTTTTTTTTTTAGAGAGCTCTAAGCCCCCTTAGTGTACCTCCTCAGATCCCAGATGAATCCTTCCTCTTCACCCAGCTGCACTGAGGTTATCCCTTGGCAAGGGGTTCCAAGATCTAGTAATACAGTAGTCCCAGATGAGAACTACTTGGGTCTTGCACCTGACCTCCCTCTCCCTTTATCTGGCCCAGGGGGTGTAGGAGTATTTACACTGTACCTGTCCTGTCCTGTAAGAGTGGTGGGTTGGTAGCTGCTTTCAGACCTTTCGCTGGGCTTGCTCCTTCCCCGCTGCTCAGGTTGTCCTCCCAAAGATACGATGGTATGGTGGAGATCCTCCTGCCCTGTAACCAACCTATAGGTAGGCTCCCCTCCCTGGGGCCCCCTCCCAGGCTCCACACTCCAGCCTTCCTCGCAGTCCATCTGCCACCTGATTCTGTACATCTGCTCTCCAAGCTCTGCCACGTTTAAGGGTTGTCCTTGGTCACCATGCCTGGCCTCCTCCCTGGGGGTTGGCCAAGGTCACTCAAAAATGCAGATCTGGGCCTTTTCCCCTCTTCCTTCTGATCAAGATGTCACAAATAATGGAATCAAACCCTGCAATAAAAAAAGCTGCAAACTGTGCAACCAAATCAATCCATCAAAAAGTGTCAGACACTCAAAAGGGATCTTCAGTATTTCCGGATCATACAGATGCACTTCTAGTAATGTTGTGTACCTTATCCAGTGCAGAAAATGTAGCAAAGGATCTTATGTTGGCGAAACAGGACAGAAGTTGCAAACAAGGATGAATTTGCACAGACATACCATCAAGGAACATAAAGAAGATGACTTTTGCACACCTGTGGGACACCATTTCGCATAACCAGACCCCACTATGGAAGACCTTAATATTTTAGTTCTTAAAGGAAATTTGCTTGAGGTGATTGTAGCCGTATTAGTATACTTGTGACCAGGGGTGGACTGACAACTCATGGGGCCCCCGGGTAATAGGGGATCATGGGGACCCTGTGTCCTTGCCCAAACGCAAAAAAGCCTATGAAAAAGGTACCAGGGGCATCTCATGGGGCCCCCTACTGACCCCGGGCCCTCGTGCAGTGCCCGAGTTTCCAAATGGTTAGTCCGCCCCTGCTTGCGACAGAAACAATTGAGTACTGGTGTGATACTTTTTTTATTTGCACTAACATACAATTTTGAGGACAAGCTTTCGGGGTATGTCCCCTTCTTCAAGGTCCAGGCAGTACTACTTCACAAAGTTTTAGCAGAATGTTAGAAGAGATGTTGGAAAGGGGAGAGAGAGAAAAAAAAAACAGAAAGAAACACACACAAACAAATGTACACAGCAATGGTTATAAGACTAGGATTAGACTAGAGATAAGACACAGCAAAAGCAAAGACTGGGGGGGGGAGGGACAACACTCACAGAGGGGGGTCATAAAACTGTTGGATAATGAGTGAGGAATCCCATGCTTTGTTCCATGCTGTAAAGACATGTATCTTCAATGTATGGGTACTGCGATGGGAAGTAAAATGGCAGCCAATTTATTTATGGCTGACCTGGAGGAAAAATTCCTGACATACCATCAAGGAACATAAAGAAAATGACTTTTGCACACCTGTGGGACACCATTTCGCACAACCAGACCCCACTATGGGAGACCTCAGTATTTTAGTTCTTAAAGGGAATTTCAAAACTATTCAAGAAAGGAAAACTTTTGAACTAAGAATGATAATTCTATTTGATACAAGAGATAACGGCCTTAATTTGGACATGGGATTCCTCACTCATTCAACAGTTTTACAAACCCCTCTGTGAGTGTTGTCCCCCCCCCCCCCCCAGTCTTTGCTTTTGCTGTGTCTTATCTCTAGTCTAATCCTAGTCTTATAACCATTGCTGTGTACATTTGTTTGTGTGTGTTTCTTTCTGTTTTTTTTTGTTTTTATTTCCTCTCTCCCCCTTCCAACATCTCTTCTAACATTTTGCTAACTTTGTGTAGTAGTACTGCCTGGACCTTGAAGAAGGGGACCCCGAAAGCTGGTCCTCAAAATTGTATGTTAGTGCAAATAAAAAAAGTATCACGTCAGTACTCAGTTGTTTCTGTCGCAAGTGCACTAATACGGCTACAATCACCCCTCTTCCAAAAAGTTCTTAGTTTCTGGAAGGGTGGGAGGGCTCCAGAAGCCCTGACCTGGAGAGCCTCCCAGTCTGTCCTGAGGTGAACTCCTGTCTTACTCCTTCCAGCCCCAAGTCCAATCTTTAACAAACTCGTGCAGACTCCACCTCCGCAACATCGCCAAAATCCGCACGTTCCTAACCCCAGAAACCACTAAACAGCTCATCCACTCCCTCATCATATCACGACTCGACTACTGCAACTCCCTCCTCACTGGCCTGCCTCGCCGCTGGCTATCCCCTCTTCAGTCCATCCTGAACACGGCTGCCAGACACATTCACCTTTCCAACCGCTCTGTCTCCGCCACCCCCCTCTGCCAATCCCTCCACTGGCTTCCGATTGCGCAACGGATCAAATTCAAAATCCTAACGCTGACGTACAAAGCTGTCCACCATACTGCCCCGAACTACATCACTGACCTAATATCCAAGTACCGCCCAGCACGCACACTCCGCTCCTCACAAGACCTCCTTCTCTCTAGTTCCCTGGTCTCCTCCTCCCATGCCCGCCTCCAGGACTTCTCCAGGGTGTCACCCATCCTCTGGAACTCCCTGCCCCAACCCATCAGATTATCACCTACTCTCCTCTCCTTTAGGCGCACCCTGAAAACCCATCTCTTCAGGGAAGCCTACCCCACCCCCTGCTAACTTGCCTCCCTCCTCCACTCTTCCTACCACTCCATCCCCCACAGCTATCTCCTCCTGTGCCACCACCCCCTCCCTCCTAGATTGTAAGCTCGAAAGAGCAGGGCCCTTGATCCCCTCATGTTTTGCATTGTATTGGTATTGTTCTGTCACATGTTCTGTCTCCCTTTGTAATGTACAGCGCTGAGCGAACTATTGGCGCTTTATAAATACTGTATAATAATAATAATACTCCCAGGCTGACTCATCCCAGGCTGCTATCCATCCTCTGTCTAAAGAAAAACAAAGACTAGCTTACCTAAACCTAGAGGGTGATACAAAATCATTTAACGACTACACATCACACCGTCCTCATGCTTTAAATTAATTTATGTATTAATACTCCCCATTAATACCCCCATACTCAAAAAAACCCTCCCTGGACCCCCCACCGACCTGAACAACCTTAGACCCATCTCCCTGCTGCCATTTACTTCCAAACTCCTTGAGCGCTTAGTCTACAATCGCCTCAACTCACCCCTTCAGTCTCCGCCCGTATCACCCACCTACTGAACGACATATCAGACTGGATGTCGCTCCATTTCCTCAAACTGAACCTTTCCAAAACTGAGCTCCTGATTTTCCCCCCCGCCTGTGCGCCCCCCCCCCCCACCCTCTCCATCACGACCAACAACGCCACCATCAATCCCACCCCACAAGCCAAAGTCCTAGGTGTCACTCTAGACTCAAACCTGTCCTTCCAACCCCATGTCCAATCGTTGGCAAACTCATGCAGGCTCCACCTCCGCAACATCTCCAAAATACGTTAGTTCCTAACCCCAGACACTACTAAACTACTCGTTCACTCCCTTATTATCTCACATCTGGACTACTGCAACTCCCTTCTCACCGGCCTACCTCACTATCCCCTCTTCAGTCTATCCTGAACTTAGCAGCCAGACTCATCCACACCTCACCAACCACTCCGCTTCTGCCACCCCCCTCTGTCACTCCCTCCACTGGCTCCCGATTGCCCAACGCATTAAATTCAAACTACTAACATTGAAAAACCCATCTCTTCAGGGAAGCCTACCTCGCCCTCACACCTAACAGCCGATCTCCTCCTCTCCTCCCACCACTCCATCCCCCACAGCCACTTTCTCCTGTACCACTCTCCCCTCCCTCCTAGATTGTAAGCTCGAAAGAGCAGGGCCCTTGAATCCCTCTTGTTCTGTTTTGTTACTGTATTGTCTCATGTACTGTCCCCCACTATAATGTACAGCGCTGAACAAACCTTTTAGCGCTATATAAATACTGTATAATAATAATAATTATTTAAATTGGCTTTAATTCACCCATTTGTTGCACTAGTTAAGGAACAGTATGTATCTGATTACTATGGGAAACATCACTGGTTTCACTTGAACTAGTCTCTGCATACATGTGATGATTTTAGTATGTTTGGACGCAATCTTGACGTTTGTTCTTTCAAAAACATAATTTTAGGTTGGAGGCCAAGAAGAACAATGATTTTTGCCAGCTGGGATGCAGAAGAATTTGGACTCCTAGGGTCTACAGAATGGGCAGAGGTAATAAATCCATGTGAACCCTTTACTTTACAAAGCAGAGAATGAGATTGTCACTGCAAATTTCCCATATTTATACACTACAGTCCCCAGGAAGATTCACCCATACATTCCACATATTAGCCACTTGAGTACCAGCCTGTACTAGCCCTTCATTACGAGGCCATTTTTCAATATTAAATGATGTGATAGTTTGGCTGACAATTATTCGACAATGCAGCACTGTACTCAAATGTTATAATATTTTTTAGGTAGCTTTCTTTTGTTGCTATTTAATAATCACTTGGTTTTGTTTTTTTTGACTGATTAAGGGAAAAAAAAAAAAATAAACCTGTTGTATCTCATTTCTAAAAATGCTCTTTCCATGCTGTCAACCAGGTTTTGCCGTATGAAAAGGTCTTCTATAAACCTAGAGGCTGTCCTCGTGAATACAATAACATTTGGGGTGTTTGGTGTACCTCTGCTGTTACAATGGCAACCTCAGGGAGTTAAAGGGATAGTTCACCTTCACCAAAGAACAGCCTATGCAGGTAAGGGGTGTCTGAGGATTAAATAAAAAAAAAAAATGTGTGTCGCTGACAAAAGTTGAATATGGCCCTTGCTATAGGTGTAGGCCATTTACGTACCTCATGAAGACTGACTGGAACACTCTAAGGACATTGCTAAGTTAAAAAGACAAAAGGCCATCCAGTTCAACCCAGTTAAAAAAAACAGTTATAATCCTACACCCACAATTGATCCAGAGGAAGGCAAAAAACCAAGCCAAGCATGATCCAATTTTTTCCTGCAGGGAAATAAATTCCTTCCTGATCCCCCGAGAGGCAATCGGATATTCCCTGGATCAACTTTACCTATAAATGTTAGTATCCAGTTATATTCTATGTATCTAGGAAGAATCCAGGCCTTTATTAAAGCAATCTACTGAGCTGGCCAGAACCAACTCTTGATGGAGTCTATTCCACATTTTCACAGCTCTCACTGTGAAGAAACCTTTCCATGTTTGGAGATTAAATTTATTTTCCTCCAGATGTAAAGAGTTTCCCCTTGTCCTCTGTGATGACCTCAGGGTGAATAACTCTACACCGAGTTATTCACTAGTGAGGCCTAGTCATTACTGCTCACCCCCACCATCACAGGAGTGAGCATTTTCTCTGATTCAGACCCCCTCAAATGCTCTATCTCTCCCCTAATACAGTAGCTCTGAGCTCAGCATCTGAGAGCTCACTCCTGTGATGGTGGAGGTGAGCAGTAATGACTAGGCCTCACCTATCAATGTCCTGGGAGTATTCTAGCCAGGCATTTAAGTTGCCTACACCTGTAGCAAGGACATTATACAGTTTGTTTTTATCTACAGACACTCCTTATCTGCATGGGCAGTTTATTGGTAAAGGTGAATTAACCCTTTAAGCAGTGCCCTCTTCACTTCCTGTATATGCTTGTATTTGATGTCTTGGATGTAAACCAATAAGTACTGTTTTTGTACGATATCAAAGTAATACCGAGAAACAGAATCTATATTTTTGTTCTATATTAGAAGTTTATTGCAACTGCTTCCTTCTTTATGCATACATTGGAAGTTTGATTAATATTTCTAACACTACTGTTATGCTGTCATTGTACCTAACTGCAATAAACCGAGTTTTTAAAAAACACCCCTAAAATATCTTTCTTTTGGACTAGGTTCACACAGTTGCCTGCTGATGCATGTTTTTCCAAATGTAATTATGCTTTGCAGTAGCCTCCCTGGAGGTATTCCCGAGCGTAGGTCGGGGTAAAGTTTCAGTACCACAAGCGGTAACCCCGAGCTACACTCGGGAATCCTGCTTTGGGATCCCTCGATCACTTACCTTGTCCTGGGCTCCCGCGATGTCCCTCCTGCAGTGTCCCCTGTAATGTCCTCCGGCGGATGCCGGCATCTGTCATCTGGGTTCTGTCCCCTGCGAGCGTCGGGACGTACGGGGACGGAACGGCGGGAAATTTGAAAATGACAAAAAATGACATTCACTAAAATCACTAACATCACATAGTAAAACATTACTGTATCGAACCATTTCACATACATTTTGTCCCGAGTGCTTTGTCCTGTGCCCTGCCTGCATTTTTACTGTTCTTTCTGCCTGGAAACTGAGAAACGTCCATGGCGTCCATAAAGCGTCCCTTTAGGTCAAAATCGGTTTTAGACCAGCTAGAGAACAGCGATAGTAAATTAGAACCACTTGCAGAATTGAGTGATAATGATTCGTGGGGAAATTCGTCATCAGACACTGAAAACGATTTAGCGACTTTGCTCAGTGATGTGCAAACTTGGCGCTATATTTCAAATTTCAGTGTTTTTGGTTTGATTATATTATTGAATTAAATGTATTATTATTATTATATTATTGTTTATGATTATTTATTATATTATGATTTCGTGTTTCCAAATTTTATGCTATCCGGGATGTTTACTAGACTCTTGTTCGGACAGATTTCAGTGAGTTATTCCTAAAAATGACAGGCCTACAATAAAAAAATACATATTTCCATGCAAAAAAAGTACCGCTTTGAGCACAGAAATATGGACATAATCAGACCACTAGGGGGGTTAAGACAGCCCATTCATTTGAATAGGCTTCTTACCACACCAAATCGCACCAAAAAAGGTGCATGTACTTTTTTGTAATGCAGAGCTTTGCTCTGATGAAGAGGGTTTGTCTCTGGAAACGTATCAGCTGGTGAGTCACTGCGACACCAGGGTTGTTTTGATACTCCACCTTATGAAGGAGAACCTGCCACTCAGATATGGTTTATAACGGGCAGCACAATGGCTAAATGGTTAGCACTTCCACCTGGCAGTACTAGGGTCGCTGGTTTGAATCCCAACCACGGTACCACCTGCTTGGAGTTTGCATGTGCCTGCATGGGTTTCCTTCGGGTACTCCAGTTTCCTCCCATACTCCAAAGACATGCTGGTAGGTTAATTGACTCCTGTCTAAAATTGTATGTGTATGTATGAATGTGAGTTAGGGACCTTAGATTGTACGCCCCTTGAGGGTTAGTGACTGATGTGAATGTACAATATATATGTAAAGTGCTGCGTAAATTGACGGCGCTATATAAGTACCTGAAATAAATAAATAATGCTGTATTAGCCTTTGACTATTGTGAGTATGCACTGGTAGTGCTACCCTTGTGACTACCACTTGTATGTTGTCCTGGTTTCCCCTTGCTTCGCCCTGCGGTAAGGCACACACACTTTGGCTCGTTGTCTTCAATGACCAGTCTAGGGTATGTTTCTTGTTTTTGGAGTTTTATTGTAGAACTGGGGATAAGGATGGGAAATTGTAGTAGGATACTCGAAAATCAGAACTATTCACATTGAAGACATCTGAACTTATCTCTCAGTTTAGCAATGTAGAAGTCCCGGCTAAGAGCAGTAAGCAGACTTCCTTGTAACACACAGAGCAAGTAGTTTTAGGAATGAGCCAAGTCCCTTTAGCTGTAGTAGTAGTAACAGGGTTGAGCTCCTCAGGTACAGGCCTGTAACGGGTCAGGTTGACCCCACCTAAGGCCGCATGGCAGCAAGTGCCAGGCGAGACAGCCTGCCTCCAGCCCGGCTTGGTGCAATCCACTCCCGGGTAAAGACCCTGATCCCATGTGCTCGGAGAATAGAAATACCACTCCCAGCATGCAATGGGGTCACCCTGTCCTGCAATTGGCCAGGGCTGTATGCATATTCATGCTGTTCATTTGTCTAGCTCCTCCCCATGTTCTGGAAGGCTCTCATAGCTTCCTGAAGGCGGGCAGAACTCAGACAAATTACATCAAACACCAAAGCAGCATGAGCAGACCTGACTAAACAATCACAGCACTCTGTTAGCAGACTACCATACTGAATATACCTGACAGCCTCTCTGGTAAGCAGAGAAACACAGCTATACTTCTCCTAAACTGTACAAATCCTACTATAGCACCTGACTAGGAAGGTGCTACGCACTCATTACTTTTCCTATACCAATAAAGTTGTATCTGGTAACGCATTAAGCTTTTGCGCTTTTTTTTGTATATAAACAAATTATTATTATTATTATTCAGGATTTACATAGAACCAACAGTTTGCACAACAAATTACAAAATAAGGCCCCATGTACACGGGACACTTCTGAACGATGCAAACTAACTGCTGGAAAACGTAGGATAAAAAAAAGCTGTTTAGTTGCGTTTGCATAACGCGTTTATGTGTGTTTGCGTTTAGAAGCGTTTTTTTAAAGATAAGCACAGGAGAACCTCCCAAATGCCCAGAATGCACTGAAAAGTGGTAAATTATTAACTATTTCAGACTGTTTCAGAGAAATACAGAGAGTAGAAGCAGACACAGCAGTATGTATTGAGATTAGCTTAGGTGTGAGTTGCTCATTAACATTTCTTTTGTTTCCAAGGGTGGGAAAGGTGTCTGGTGGAGGGAGTCATTAAGGCCACCTGGCAGGGGGTCTTCATGAGGAATTTGAGGTGTGAATGGTCATTACAATGTGTAACAAGCTTGGTAGGAACATCCTGTGTTCAGTGTTTTGTCCATCTGAGTACCCTGAAAACACTTTGCATGCATTTTTCATGATGAAAAAAGGCTCTGGACAGCATCGGGAACTGGAAGAGTTAAAAAAAAAAATGTCAAATGCAGACGCTTATAAACACGATTTGCCGCATTTAGCCATGTTTACGAGCATTTCGCATTTGAAACACTGATAAAATTGACTGCTGAATGCAAGTTTTCTGTGTTAAAAAAAACTACTGTAAACTCAAATGCCTGTAAACGACTGTAAACGAAGGTGTGTACATAGACACATAGGAAAACATTAGGGTGAGTTCAGGGGCTGCTGAAAAAAAACGCTGAACAGCTCCTAAATGTGAGTTTATCAGCTGCAGTGTACATGAGCTCTAAATCAATTATTTCTGTATATTAAAAACATTTAAAAGAGTGCAAAGTGCACAAGAAAACCCTATTTAGGTAATGTATGTACTGTGTA